TCTACAACCCCCACAAGCTTTCCCTGGACCAAAGCCCAAAGCTGCTAGGGGCTGCCCACCTTTCGAATGTCCTCCAGGAATGACTCCTTACTGCCTTCCAGCTGGACCTGCTGGGGGCCCTTCAGCGTTTTGCTGGCTTGAACTCGCTCCTCCTTCAGAGAGGACAAGCACCGAGCGAAGACGGCTTCTCCTATGTGGGGAAGAGAGAGCCAGTCAGAGATCCAACGCCTGAAACCAGAGAAAAGGGGTATGCACAGCCAGAGCAGGGGTGAGAGACAGAGCTAACATGCACCAAGGGGACCAGAGATCCTTTTTTCGTTTGTTTTTTGAGACAGGGTTTCTCTGTGTAACAAACAGTCCTGAAACTCACTTTGTAGACCAGGCTGGCCTTGAACTCACTGAGATCCACCTGCCTCTGCCTCCCAAGTGCTGGGGTTAAAGGTGTGTGCTACCACCACCTGGCATCAGTCAGAGATCCTTAAGACCAACCCCTGAAACCTGAGGAAAGGGGTGTGAGCAAGGATGAGAAAGCTCCAACCTCCACCAAGAGCTGGGTGCTTTGGCCCAAATGTAACCTGGGTTAGGAGCTCTGAAGAGTCAATTCCACAACTATACCCTTAAGTTAGCCTCCTCACACGAATGCATTCAACCATAAGACCAAAATGAAACTCAAGGGAAGTTTTAAGGTGAAGTAGAGGTAAGGCAATAATTACACATAGTTACTCAATATTAACCCAAGAGCAAAATTCCAGTTTCTATTTTAGAAGAAAGTAATTTTGTTGTGAGACAGAATTTCACAAAGTACAAGCTACCTCAAACTTACTATGGGGCAGAGGATGGCCTTGATCCCCTGGTCCTCCTGGCTCTACCTCCCAACTGCTGAGATTACAGATGTATACCATACCTGATTTGAAAGAAAAAATTTTTCCCCCAAGACAGAGTTTTTTTTTTGTTTTGTTTTGTTTTTTTAATGTAGCCTTGGCTGTCCTGGAACTAGCTCTGTAGACCAGGCTGGCCTCAAACTCACAGAGATCTGCCTCCTGAGATCTGCTGGGATTAAAGGTGTGCACCACCACTGCCTGGCCACTTGAGAAAATAAATTTTTAAGTGTGACTCAAAGATACATGCCTGGGTGGTGGTGGCGCATACCTCTAATCCCAGCACTTGGGAGGCAGAGGCAGACAGATTTATGAGTTCAAGGCCAATCTGGTCTGTCGAGTGAGTTCTAGGACAGCCAGGGTTGTTGCATAGTGAAACCCTGTCTCAAAACCACTCCCTCCCTGAAAAAAAAAGTTGATTTATTTTTTGAGTGTTTGTTTTTTTGAAACAGGGTCTCTCTTAGTCCTGGCTGTTCTGGAGCTCATTATGTAGAACATGCTGGCCTTGAATTCACCACCACCACGCCCAGCTTTAAAAAATGATTTTTAATTTATTATTTCTATGTGTATGGGTGTTTTGCCTTCATGTGTCTATGTACCACCTGCATGCAGTACCCTCAGAGGCCAGAAGAGGGCATAAGATCCTTTGGAACTGGAGTTCCAGACCACCACTAACAACCATGTGGGTGCTGGGAACCAAACCCAGATCCTAGGCAAGAGCAACAAGTGCTCTTAATTCCTAGGCTATCTCACTAGCCCCAGGCTTAGTTTTTTTTTGTTTTTTTTTTTTTAACTTTTGTAAGATTTTTAATTTTGTGTGTGTGTGTGTGTGTGTGTGTGTGTGTGTGTGTGTGTGTGTGTGTACATGCATGCAAGTGCCCTCAGAGGCCAGGAGTCAGATGTCCCTGGCACTGGAGTCACAATGGGTTGGAGCAACTGGATGTGGGTGTTGGGAAGCCAATCACTGAAAGGGAAGGATGTGCTCTTAACCGCTGTACCATCTCTCCACCCCCAGCTGTTTTCAATATCCATAACCACTGGTTTCACAATATCCTTCAATACAATACATTAAGACATTTAATGCTTTCACAAACCACCCTTGTGACAGGCCAGTTGCTCAATTTATTTCAGATGAATCAATTTTCTTTTCCTCCAAACAAAATGGGTCGAATCTCTGGGACTAACAACTAACATGGCACTTTTGGGGAAGGGGTACTAGCCACCACTAGACAACAAGGCAAGAAGGAGATGTCTTCTTGCTCTTACTCAACCCTTTCCTTCCCTGCAGCATAACTGACATTTGTGCAACAGCAGGTGTGGCAAACCCTCCCGGTCATATAGCGAGCCGGACTGAGACTGTGTCCTTCCTCTTTTCATTAGGTAGGAAAGGACCACATTCAGCCAGCTTGGTGGGAGGGAGCCCAGTCTACAACTGAGGACAGTAATGCTGTTAATGCAGCCGAGTCAGTGGTGGGTAGTACTCGCTGCACACAGCACCACTGGGACTGGCCACAATGCAGCCAACTTCCTCTTACTTGTGCAGGACACACACACACACCTCTGCCCTGCCCCAAATGTCTAACACAGGGTGAGGCATGACTAATCAGAAAATAAAGGAGGAGAAGGAGGGAGAGACAGCTGTATCTGGAAAAGTAAACATAAAATGCCCGCGTTATTACAGAAGAACCATTCCACCAGGAGCAAAGATTTCTGTCAGCACCTGGCTCACTCTTTCCAATCTTGGCAGAGGGCATTCTATTCTATCCTTTAAGAAAAGACAGAGTCGGTACAGTGCTTGTCATACAGGTCCCCATCACCTGTGTAAAAAAGCCAAGAGGTGGCTACACATGACTATGATCATAGCCCAGGAGGATCAGAGACCAGTGGTCCCCATAGCCAGCTGGCCAGCTACTCTAGCCAATCAGTGAGGTCCAGGTTCAATGGAGAGACTCTGTTTCAAAAATAAATAAGTAAATAAAGGTAAAGAGTGACTGAGGAAGACAGTGGATGCCGACCTCTGGCCTCCACATCTGTATGCATGGGAATGTCCACCCACACATATGAACACACATGCACACCACTTACACACATGCCCAGGATGATCTTGAGCTCCTAGGTTCAAGTGATTTTCCTGTCATAGCTTCCTGAGTAACTATGGTGACAGGAGCAGACTGTGCCTGGCTTATTATTCCTTTTTTATTACATTATTCTCGCTCTCCCTCTTCTCTCTTTCTCTGTAGACATGTGAATGCTATGGCATTCATATGGAGGTCAGAAGACAACATGCAGGGGTTGGTTCTCTCCTTCTACCAAGTGGGTCTCAGGGTTTGAACTCAGCTCCTTTTATTTTATTCTTTTTTTTTTGTTTATTCGTTTGTTTGTTTTTCAAAACAAGGTTTCTCTGTGTAGCCCTGGCTGCCCTAGAACTCACTCTATAGACCACACTGGCCTCAAACTCACAGAGATTCACCTCCTGGCTTTTAATTTTACTCTTAAAGAACAGTTTTTGCACTCAAGAGGCAGAGACAGGCAGATCTCCATGAGTTCCAGGCCAGCTTGGGCTACAGAGACAAACAGACACGGGACTCTGTCTCCAAACACCAACAACAAAGCAGTCCATTACCAGTTTTGGGTTTCTCAGTCTCTTGTTTTCTGGGTTTGGTTTTTGCAGTGCCAGGGACCAAACCCAAGCTAAGCAAGCGCTCGACCACCTGAGCCATGCCCCGCCTTCTACCTCTGAGTTGGATGTGTAGTCCATTAATAGAAAGTGACACAGACAGCAGTTTCCTTCTAAATGAGAAGGAACCTAGGTTATGCCCTGTTTTTCCAGTATCTGTGGGTAGAACCTGTAAAATATTAAT